GCCCATACTGAAGTATTCACTAGTATGTAACACATCCCTTCCCTCCCTTCTTTCCCTCCCCTCCCTCCCCTCCACTCCCCTACCTCCCCTCCATCCGCTTCCCTCCCTTCCGCCCCTTCCCTCCCATCCTGTTACATACTGCATTCCACACGGGCCCTTTCAGGCCTGACGACTAGGCTGAGGGGTTCCGAGGGCCTGGACGCAGTAATCCAGGCCAGGCCGGCCCAAAGGCCGGACCTTTCAGGCCGCCCCTTTGGCCTTGGGCAACCGGTTCTGGACCAGGCCCTGCGGCTGCAGGGCCTGGGCAGGAAATGGCCAAACGTTTTCGTTTGGACCAGGCCGCCGTTTAGGCAGCCGTTTTCCTGAAAACCGGTCCGACCTGAACCACGGATTGGACGATAGATCCGATGGTTCAGATCGGTGGCCACCTTGGGAGGCAGAGGCCGAACTGGCCGCCGGCCGGTACTTAGGCCCAGCCAACGGCCATTTTGGGGGATCGGAGAACGACAGCATTGAGGGAACGACCGCTGCGCTATTTCAGTTCCAGCGCAGCGCTAGAGAGCTGCACTAGGTGTAGCGCTGGCTGTAGAGAGAAGGAGAGAGCGAGGAGGGAGACTTACCTGACAGCAGCCACGAGCGCCATAGCTCCCAACAGCACAGCCGTCTCCTGCAGCAGCCAAGGCGCCATCAGGTAGGGCCTAGGGCTACTCGCCATCTCCGCCAATGTTCTGCCCCTCTCGGTCTTCCTCTTCTTCTTCTTCCTCTTCAGACTTCTTCTTCTTCTTCTTCTTCTTCTTCTTCTTCTTCTTCTTCCGACTTCAGACTATTGATACGAGTTGGACAGAGATCAGTGATTGGACTTCAGTGGTAGGAGGATGTGATACATACCGGATTCGAGACATTGGAGATAGTTGGGATTGATACCTGGCGGCCTCACAGATCGGACATCGGTTACATTAGGATTCTATACCTCCGACATTGGTGACTTATGTCCACGACATTCTGATTTTGTTCAGTGACATTTTGGGCTACCATATCGGTGACCTTCTTGATTCTATCTCGGTGACATCTGGCACTGTCCATATCTCCCACCTCCATCGTCTCTCCTCCCACCATTCATCTGTGTATCGTTGTACGGGGCCTGAAGCATTGTCTATGTATGGCTTCAGACCCCACCATCTCAAGATTGCTTGTGTGTTGAGTGATGTTTAGGTGAGTTCAGTCTATGTGAGTCCATTTCTCAGACTTCCGCTGCATACATGCTCATCCTATATTGGTTGATCTTTGGTTCTGCCCATACTTGGTGAAGTATTCACTAGTATATAACAGTTTGGTATCGGAGCAGACCAATCAAGTGGATCTGCTCACAGGGTAAATTCTGATTAGGGAATCGATTGCTTAATTAGCATTGTCTTTTTCCGAATTAGTTCTGCATTGCTATCGAAGATTCAAGTTGCGAAATTCTATTTTTAATTCGGTATTCTATTCGGTATTGAATTAGGATTGCAATTTTTTTTTCGGTTTTCCGCATTGGGGGAAAATTCGCGGTTTCTGGAACCATAAATCGGAAATTCCGTGAAATCGCGGAAAATTAGGGTTGAGGTCCAAAATTTTCCCTAATTGTTGAAATTCCGAATGCGGACTTCGGCCTTCTGAAAATCGAACTATGTTAGGTTGAAATTCCCAAAATTTCACGTTTTTTTCAAAAATTCGAGTGTTTTAAACTGTTCTTCCTTTTTCCTAACTGTCCGAATTTTTTTTCAGTTCGCAGACTGTCCGAAATCGTTTACCCCAGAACTGCAACTTCCGGGAAGTTCACTAACAACGGTGAACTCCCGGACCATAGGTGATCTCAACGGACATCTGATCTGCGGACAATTTAAATTTCGTATGTTAAATCATTATTTATTCTTATTCGTTATTATTTATTTATTATTTTCAAAATTAAATTGTTCGGGGGAGGAAAGATCATCTTTTTCTTTTGATTAGGAGTCCAGCCCACATTGGGACAGGGGACTGTAAGTTGATTGTCTGTTCTGTTCTACCCCTGTTTCCCACCCTCCCTGCCCTCCCCGTGTCTGTGGCCACTGAGATCTCCAAAGTACCACATCAGCCCGTGCTGATGTCGACGGAACAGGACACCGGGGCACTGCCACGACGCAGTGCCAGGATCGCAGTTCGTAGCCACTCTGTGCTACCTCCACGGCCTAAGTATCAGCGACAACGACGCAGCAGGAGAACGACTCCAGCGGCATCCAGTACCAATGCAGCAGCTGCAGTACCGGTCACCGCAGGGATCCTCCCCGCCTGTCCGGTCAAAGGGGACCACGAGACTTTGGCAGCTTACCTTCAGCGGGTGCAGGCATTCACTGATGCCGTCGCCGCAGCAAAGGCACAGCAAGAGGCAGCAGAAGCAGAATGTCAGAGGCTTGCCAACGAGGCGGCAGCTCAAGCTCAGCGGACTGCTGAGGCTGACGCAACGGCTCGAGACAAGCGGAACGCCACCAGCACTGAATCCTTGATTCAGAATGAGAGTCAGTGGACAGCACTACTCCAAGGCATGATCTTTGTGCCTACGGACGAGCAGGCGGATCCGACACCGGCGGAGGCGGAAAGGAGTAACCTGGCTAACTTAATGCTGTGCATGATGAGGGCGGTAATGTGGAACAACACGATGCACACGCACAGGCAGCTGAGACAGACTCAGCAGAAAGAATCTTCAACCTTGACAGCCGCCATCCGCGCAGCAGCACAACATCAGCAACAACAGCAACAGCTGTTGGCATCCACTATCACACGTGCCAACAGCATCCAGACTAAGCCCTCAGCAGCGCCAGGCTGCACGATGGACATAGCGAAGCAGGTTGGAGAGCGCATCAACCAGGTCATCAACATCATTTGCGACCTGGGTGACTTTACCAGTCCGGCATCGATCAGCATCACGGTGGCCGCCATCAAGACGGACATCACCAAACTGCAGTCACGACCGGAAGCCGCCTCAAAAGCATACAAGATGCCACGCTTCAACATCGGGAAGTTTGATGATTACAACAAAACAGACGCTTTGGCATGGTGACAAGCCTGCCACCACGTGCCAGAGGACCTGATGATGACAGCACTTTACCTCCAACTCATTGGAGGAGCACAGGCATTCATGACCCACACGGCGGCCATTCTGGGAACCACCATCGCCGACCTGCACAAGCACATCACGTGGGAGCAGCTCGAGCAAATGTGGCACACTCGATTCATGGTCCGAAATGTAGTGAAGGCAGCCATGAACGAGGTC